GGAATTTTGATGCAGAGGGAAGATATCATATTAGAATGGATATTTCTGACAAATAAACAGAATAAAAAACTGAATACATATTTCAAAAAGATCTCTAATTTGATTTTAAAAGATAAATTAAGGCTTTGTCAACTGACTGGAAGGAACCCAACAAAAATTATTGTACAAGATATTCCATGGCAAAACCAGATTTATACAATACATATCCACAAATCCAATCCTACAGAAAGTTCTGGAAGTAAAACTCCAACCTAAGGAAGTTAACTACACTCATAAAAACACAGACAACAGATAATCTCACTTTACCAAATGCCAAAAATGTGGGAAAGATTCACACACAGTACCACCACCAAAAACGAAACCAAAACAAACAAGAATTAACAATCATTGGTCATTAATATCCTTCAATATCAATGGTATTAACTCACCTATAAAAAGATACAGGATAACAAAATGGATATGAAGACAGAATCCATCTTTCTGCTGCATACAACAAACACACTTAACCTTTAAAGACAGATGTTACCTCAGAGCTAAGGGTTGGGTAAATGTTTTCCACTCAAATGGAGCCTAGAAGCAGGTGGGTGTAGCTATCCTAATATCTAAAAATTAGACTTTAAACTAAAGTTAATCAAAAGAGATGAAGAAGGTCATTTCATATTCATCACAGAAAATGTCTGTCATGATGAAGTCTCAATTCTGCACATCTATGCTCCAAATACAAAGGCACTCACATTCGTAAAAGAAACATTACTAAAATTCATATCACACATTAAATCCCACACATTTATTATAGCGGGAGACTTCAACACCCCACTCTCACCACTGGAAAGGACTACCAGACAGAAACTTGACAAAGAAACAAAGGAACTACCTGAAGTTATGTCCCAATTGGTTTTAATAGACATCTATATAACATTCCATGCAAACACAAAAGAATATACCTTCTCAGCACCACATGGAACCTTCTCTAAAATCAACCACATACTCCACAGCATAGCAAACCTTAACAGATACAAAAATGGGAATAACCCCCTGTATCTTATCATACTACCATGCTTTAAAGTTAGACTTCAATAGCAACACGAATTGAAGAAATGCTACAAACTCATGGAATTTGAACATTGCACAATTTTATCTTTCCTGGGTCAAGGATAAAATGCAGAAAGAAATTAAAGACTTCCTAGAATTCATGAAAATAAAGATACAACATACCCAAAATTATGGGACACTTAGAAAGCAGAACTCAGAGGAAAGCTCATAACAGTAAGTGCCCACATGAAGAAACTGGAGAAGAGCCACACTAGAGAATGAACAGAACACCTGAAAGCTCTGAAAAAGAAGGAAATTCACCCAGGAGGAAATAATTAAATTGATAGCTGAAATCAATAAAGTAGAAACAAAGAAAACAATACAAAGAATCAATGAAACAAGGAGTTGGTTCTTCAAGAAGATCAACAAGATAAAAAACCTTTATCCAACCTAACCAAAAGGCAGAGAGAGAACATGCAAATTAACAAAATCAGAAATGAAAAGGGAGACATAACAACAGACACTTGGGAAATCCAGAGAATCATCAGGTCATACTTTGAAAACCTGTACTACACAAAAATTGGAAAATTTAAAGGAACTGGATGATTTTCTGGATAGATATCACTTACCAAACTTAAATTAAGAACAGATAAACAATTTAAATAGACCTACAGCCCTTGATTAAATAGAAGCAGTAATCAAAATTCTCCCAACTAATACAAGTCCAGGCACAGATGGTTTCAGTGCAGAATTCTATCAGAAATTCAAAAAAGAGATAATACCAATACTTTTTAAATTGTTCCACACAACAGAAGCAAAAGGATCACTGCCAAACTCTTTTTATGAGGCTATAATTACTTTGGCACCCAGACCACACAAAGACACAACTAAGATAGAGAACTACAGACCAATATTCCTCATGAACATTGATGCAAATATACTCAATAAAATAGTGGTAAATTGAATCCATGAATACATCAGAAAAATCATACACCATGATCAAGTAGGCTTCATCCTAGGGATGTAGGGGTAACATATGCAAATCCATCATATAAACAATCTATAAAAGAAAAACCACATGATCATCTCAGTAGATGCTAAAAGAGCCTTTGACAAAATACAACAACCCTAAGGTCTTGGAGAGATCAGGGATAACAGGAACATATCTAAACATAATAAATGTAATATACAGCAAACTGACAGCCAACATCAAACTAAATGGAGAGAAACTCAAGGAGAGCCCATTCCACATGGAGGGATGCTCTCTCAGCCTGTAGTAATGGTGGAAGGTGTAGGCCTTGCACCAGATGATATGATAGACTTTGGAGATTCCTAATGGTTGTTGCTGAAGCTGTGGGAGTCATTATCTTCAGTGGCTTAGCCTTTATTTGCCTTTGTTCCAGGGATTGTTCCATACACATGATCATGTGTGCAGCCCAGGTTAAATTCAGTGAGCTCCAAAACAATATGAGACATGAAACAGCAGAGAGACTTACTGGAAAGTGAATTTAGATTTCATGGGAGATTGAGGGAAATAACAGAATTTTAGATCTGAGTATGATCAAAATTTATCATATACCTTAATGAAATTATTACAACAAAAGTTAAAGGGAAAAAACATGGCAACAGCAGTTTATAGTTTAAAGCATCCTCACACAATAGTGAGGATATGTGAGTTATCCAGTTTGATTAGACTAGGAATCTTGCAATGGAACATACGCATTTATATAAAGGGAAGCTAGGCGATTCAATTAGTTCTGGAATGATTCTAATTATTAACTGCCTGCTGTTTCCACACCTGGTTTTGAACACTTTATTTGCTCTCTCTGGCCATTTTAAGCAGGGGAAAAATTTCTTGTGCTTGTTTACAGTCTCTATTCTCCTTGTGTTGGGTGGTTAACCAACAAAGCACATATAATTTGAAAGAGAGCCCAATAAGAGGACCAGATGGAAAGACAACGGGAGGCTCCAGGTTAACATTATTGGGAAATGTACAAACCTTTCAGTAAGTCCAATACAGTTACTAAAACATAGTGATTTTTGCTTGTGAGATTGTCTAGTGGGCTCCTAACTGTAAACTCTAGAGTCCTATGGACCATGTTCCTGTAGTTTACTAGGTCCACTGGATGTTTCTGTGCACAAGATTTACTCAGGCCTGTCAAGAAAGTACACAGGTCTACTGTGTGCTTATTATCTTTGGCCAGGTCTTCAGCTAATGTTTGATTTTGATGGGAGTCACAGAGTATTCTCTCCAAGGTCTCCAAGATATTTCCTTCACCTTGACAGTCAATCTTGTTCAGGACAGCTTTGCCATTTGTCTCGTGATCAACAGATACAATAGATTCTTTCTGAGTCTGTGGTTGAGGAAATTTTTTAATAACAAGGTTTATAGTTAGAAATAGAAGACTTATCCATGCATATTTGCAAAAGATGCAGTAAAATGGGAAGAGGCTGTGAGCTTACGACTTATACTAGACCACAAAGGGAACACTGATGCCTTGCCATCTGCAGTTGGAGAGTTTTAGCTCAGTGAAAGAGCAGGAGCCCCACCCATTTCTTTACCAGAACTATTTCACAGATTTGGAGCATATTTTCCAGGGTTGCTTAACTTCCAGCTTTCACATATCAACACACTTTTTTTTCAGTCTACTTGAAGATAGCAAATTAATCTAGCAAAATGACTGTTTCTCAGGTGGTTCAGGTGAGTGACAGAAATGCAACTGATGAGCTACTAATCCTTGTTTAAATGGACTCATAATCTTGCAGAATTTCGCATATGGGAGGATCAGGTGCAGGGGTGGAGAATGTTTGTGAATTATTTGAACCATGTCTCAGGCTGATTTTCAACAACAATATGGTGACCTATGGGTCAGAGAAATGCTTAAGCATTATATCAACAGAGTGCACAGTGTCATTATTCATTTTCCCTCATGTTTTGAGTTGAATTATTCACTCTAACATGACTTAAGATTGACCTTTTTAGTCTTAGAGTTCTGTCTTCATACAGTATGGCAATTATGTACTCTATGCCTATCTCTGATTTCATTTTCCCATGAGCAATGACTATTAGTGAGTGTTTGAACAAACAGACCAAACACATTTACCCATTCCTGGTAGAAAGAATGAACATACTAGACTTCTATAATAATGCAAACTGCATTTTATTTAAGCCAAAGTTCTCATCCCCATAGAATTTCTATTAAATCTAAAACCAAGTGTAAAGTAAACTAATTTCAAAACTCAAAATGAGTTTACCTAGGAGAAAAGGTAATAATAATTTACTACATCATATGCTATCTTGTTTTATATATGAAAAATTCTTCTGAAGACATGTGTTTTCTTGAGGGCAGATAATTTAAAAATTATTGAGAATTATATATGAAATATAGCATTCTAAGTGTTCAATTTGTGTGAACACTATATCATCAAACTAGATTAGGAACCCTCTATATGATGCAGAGGTTTATTTTTTTATCTTGTGATTGAGGCAGATTTCACAATCTACAGAGTTTAATGGATAGTTTTGGTTGTTTGTCCTCAGATTCAACCATATTTTTTACAAAGTCCTTTATTGGCTGCTGCATTTTTCTGTAGCTGGCTCACATTTCACAGTGGTAGCACTGCAACTGAAGACAAGATTTATAACTAAACACAAACTATAATGCTATACTGACAGACATGTATCTCACATACCTTAATGTGCATCTTTGATGTCTAGTAAGTACCCTATATTTTTAGTACATCTCCCTTTCAAAGTTTGCTGTTCCCACATGCCACTGGTGAATATCATAACTGCCTTTTGTGGAGAGTGCAAACTTACTCTCTCATCTCCATAAACATCTTAAGTGATCCTAGATCCCAAGAGAATGCTGTAAGCTTTCAGACCCTCTGAGTTGTTCTACTCTCAAATAGTGTACCATCACAAAAGTTGGCAGGCAGATCTGAGATGACTATTATTTTAAACTTACCCTTCCTTTAGTGAGCATAGATGGAAACAGCAGGCTAATAAGAAACAACATCACTGGGAAAGAAGCCATAGCTGAAAGTAAACAAAGAAAAAAATCCTGGTTGAATTAAGCAGGGTATGGGACACAGAGCTAAACAACACATCGATAGCAGATATTCCAAAGTAACTCTACCCAAGAAATTCATTAGGGAAATAACAAGGGAATTGTTGCCATGGTGCAGAGGTTGCTATAGTTTCATTGTGCCCACCTTGCCTCTAACAGGGATAACATGTAAGCTAAAGAACATGACTGGTGTCCCGATGTGTACTTGTAGAGGCTGGAGAGTTCCTTTCCTCTCCTCTGTCTTCAAAAGGGAAATGTGGAAAAAACAGATTCAGCAAATTCAATTCTGTTTTTGTTTTATTTTGCTCTGCCCTGTTTATAGATGTCATCTGTACTGGATATGAATCAGAGTGGCAGGGTTGTGATTATGCAGATATAAACATACAAATACAATGGAAGTAACAATATGTGAAGAGTAATTTCAAGTTACATCATTTTCTTAAATTCAAATCAATTTTCATTCTTTTTCAATAAGAATATAAAAATACAATTAATGAATCACATATCTAGTCTATTTAAGTTCACTCATTCCATCATTTGTTACATGGGTGGTTTCATTTTTTCCCTAAGTTTTAAGTTCACACTGGTTATTGCACAAAATATCTCCTCTCAATGAATCATTATGTTCCACATTCTTTGAATACTACTTAAAAATTGTATTGTATGATGGACTCACTCACCATCCTTTTGTAACACATGTAATGGCTTATGTTGTAAATTAAATGTGTGGTGTCTCATTTTTCATACTGTATGTACATTCAAAATATTTTTAAAATATATAATTGGCTTCCATTTTTTCCTGCTCATTGATAATGTGTAGACATTATAACTGAAGATCTAGTGTAGTTTACACTTTTTAGACCAATTCCCTTCACTCTCCTCCCTTCAAGTCCTTCCACGTACTCTGTAACTGCCTTTCAAATTCATCCCTTGTTTTTTTCCATTGGAATTCAATGAAAAATTTGAGTCAAAGGTTCCCCAGATGGATCAGTAATATCCCTTTTCCTTGGTCTTCCCTCATAGACACCAAAACTGCCCAGGATCTATAAAATATCCATGTTGACTGGAGCTTCTCACACTTAGTGTCCAGACCTTCCAAAATGACAGCCTTAATTTTTGTCCTTGGTAGGTAACTAAGAAATGAATTTCAAGGAATGCTTCTGCTTCCTCCAGCAGTTTCTTTTGGGTTTAATGGTAAACAGAATGTGGCTTCTCTCCTCTTCGTCATAGGCAGAAGAGGAAATGCATTCAATTTCAGTTTTCTTATCATCAGTGTAGTGTGTTGCTCTATATTATTTGTAACCTGCCTAGATTCAGTTTTCAAAACTGCTGGACAGTCCTTCAAGGGCCTCATACATTTCCCAGACTGAGACCCTGATGTGCCACTGGCCACTGAAATCTTAGCATTGTAAATGTTGTCATCTTACCATGGAGCTTGCTTTCACCTTCCACAGTCTTAGCTTGAATTGCTTGTTCGAACTGAAGACTTTCAGTCAGATCAGCTCCTGTTGCAGACTCTTGTGCTTCTGTGGATCTCTGGGTCTCCTCTTTCTTTGGATAGAGGGCGGGTTTTAGAGGCTGAGGCCATATGTGGTTGTGCTGTATTGGCTGCTGTTTCCAGCTAACTACTTTGATTGCAGTTTCTCATGGGTTTTGCTTCCTGGTCATCAGAATATGTAACATCATCCCTGAGTAATATCCCAGCAACTGCTTTGTGCATAAGTAATCTTCTATTTTATGTTAGCTGTCTTTGCTCCAGGAGGATTTTCCTTTTCTCATTTTTAAAGCAAGATATGGGGAGAGGAGAATTGTCCTCTTCTCCATGCCTTTTATTTAGCATGTTTGATCACATGCTAGATTAAAGGCATGTGTATATTATTTATTCTTGCTTATTTTGATATTTATAGCCTTTCAATGATTCTCACATTTTTGACTATATGTGTTTTATGGATATTTTTGCAGATAAGTGAGGATTTAGTACAATATTGCTTGCTTCTATTCTACCATCTTTATCAACAAATACTAGTTGAAAGAAAGAATTATTCTTCCATCATACAGGCTTCCTTTAGTAAAAGATGAAAACTATACACAGACCAAACCCAGCTGTTATCCAGAAAGAGAGACGGTGGAACACACTATAGAAAATGAAATATCTCCATCAAATCTGTCTCCTCAGAGCTTAGGGAACCACACGGAAGGGCGGGGGGAGATTTGTTCAATTGTTTTAGAAGGGCTTGTTCTCCTTGTGCTTCTAAACAACTGAGTAAAGCTCATATGGAAGACATGATCCTAGGTAGACCTGTTACCAAGGGAGTGATTACAACTAGCATGTTTTAAAAAGAGTGTACAAAACATGAATTCATAAAAATTTATAATACCATGGAATTAATATGGAAGACACACTTCTATATTTGATTTATATTAACAGTAAAGGAAAATAATAGATAGCAAGTAAATCTTACACTTGATAGTATGAGAGGAGCTAAACTAAAGTAACATGGTAATGGTATAATATGTAAAATGAACTGACACAAAATATGAAAAGAATCAATATCACCATCCGTATCTCTAACAGAATATAAGATCTTCTAGGATTGAGTAAATAAAATGATTAGTTACTATATAAAAAATGAGAGCTTTCAGTCAGGTATGGTAATGTACACCTGTAGTCCTGTCATGTAGGAAGCTGAAATAGTAGAATTGCTTTGAGATCAAGGTCAGCCTGAGCTCCATCTCAAAGAAAGCAAATAAACTAAATCAAATCAGTAGCCTGGATTGTAATATTTGTTTAAAAAATAGCATTAAAAATACCAAACCTGACTTCAATGCTTGTTAAGAAAAGACTTTTGTTAGTATTAATATGGTTTGATATGCTTCTGAGTAGATTTATGCATGATTCTTATAATTATACTAATTTTATAATTACAGGATACTTCTATACTTTTGTGATGGGGAAGTCCTTCTGTGTATATGTTTGTATTATTGGTTGATAAATAAAGCATTGTTGGCCAATATGGAAGCAAGATAGGTGGGACTAGGAGTTGAGGAGGATTCTGGGAAGTGTAGTAAAGAGTGGATAGTCGCCATGTGATCCTTGTAGGAGAAGACACATGACCCTGGCATTCTCGGTAAGATAAGACCTATATATATATATATATATATATTAGTTGGTCATGGGTTAGTACTTAAGACAGAACTAGCCAATGAGAAGCCCTGGACATTAGCTAAGAGCATTGTAACTAATGGAGCGTCTGTGTGTTATTTGGAGTTGGCATGACTCTGGGACCAGGTTGCCTGGAATATTGCTCATTACATATGGCGCCCAACGTTGGTTGTGTGAATTTCACACAGAATGACAAAAGTTTAAAAGGATTTTTAGAAACAAAAGAACAGAGACAAGCACGACTTCCTGGTGGCAGCATTTTCTTGGGTGGGCTCTGTTTTACTAGAGACAAGCAGAGACTTGTGTGGTAAACTTACACCCACCATGCTGGAAATCCAGCTACTAAAACAGCCACTGCTTGAATTTTAACAATGTTGTTTAACAGATAACAGACACATACATGGCCACAAAAACAAAGATTTACAGTAAAGTCAGATTCAGTAAAAATTTACAGTATGTCAAAGAATATGTGTAGGCTTGGGAGAGAAAAAGAAACAAGATAGTGGTAAAAGAAATAGAGAAGCTGGGCTGGGGTGGCACACACCTTTAATCCCAGCACTTGGGAGGCAGAGGCAAGCAGATCTCTGTGATTTCAAGGCCAGCCTCATGTACGTAGGGAGTTTAAGGGCAGCCCTGACTTAAAAACGTAAAAAATACAATTAAAACATATAGAGTAAGGGCTGGAGAGATGGCTCAGACATTAAAGGCTATGCTCACAACCAAAAACATAAAAGATATAGAGTAATAAAAAAGACACATAAAGATGGAAAAAATACAGAGAGTCTGGATATTGTATGCTATTGTGTTGTCTTTTAGTTGTTCAAATGCTAAAGAAGGAACAAAAATTGCTAGAATACACTAGATTATAAATGCTGCTAAATTAATCCAAGTTATATATTTTAAAAACACTTTGACTTCTAAATTTAAATATAAGGAGAGGTTACTTGGGAAAAGAGTTTTTGCTTGTGTTTCCACAGAAAATGAAAGACTGTGAATTTCTTCCTAATATGGTTTGATTAAGCAAGACCCCCTGAAGCAGTTTCTAAGGAGATCCAACATGTAAAATAACTGAGATGATGCAGCCATGCAGACTACCAAAACAAGGACCTGACCAGGTTTCTGGATTTTGTCATGATCTTCACGGTATGGATAGTGCCCTCAAATAGGGCATCTTTATGTGTCTTTTTTATTACTCTATATCTTTTATGTTTTTGGTTGTGAGCATAGCCTTTAATGTCTGAGCCATCTCTCCAGCCCTTACTCTATATGTTTTAATTGTATTTTTTACGTTTTTAAGTCAGGGCTGCCCTTAAACTCCCTACGTACAGGAAGCAGTTTGTAAAGAACATGCCCAGATTCCCAAATATTGTTTATACTTTTTTGTTTTCATTTATATAAGATTGGTTAATGATAACAATGTTGTTTTTAAAGGTAAAGGGGGATTATGGTATAGGAATGAATACTTTGCCTTGGAATGTATTTTCACTTATTGATGCAAATTTAAGATAAATTTTCTGATATATATATTATCTTGTTTAGATATTATACAGCTATTTTAAAAGTGTAATGTATAATTCAGTACAGAACATAGATAGTTACCTATAATAGTCAAAACTTATAGTTAGGTTAGTTAGGTTTTCAAGATATACAGAGATGTATTTGAGATGGATAGATATTCTTTCAAACCTTTCAAAGACCTACAGAATATATGGCATTTAAATGGTTTAGGTTTCTTCTTGACAATGAGACATACCTACTACTGGCAACTCCAACTGTGCCAGAAGGGAAAATGAATATCAAAGAAACTCGTTATGGAATTTGCTTCCAATAGGGTAAGACTAACCATTAGGGCAAGATACTGCTCTTGCCTGAACTGTTTGCCTGAATTGGACTACAGGACCCACAGGAAAGTGACTGCTGAACTCACAAAACAAGATGGACAGTACTAATGGGTTCCCTGCTTCATGGAAGACTCTGCCAGACATTCTTCAGGGCACAGAAAAATGACCGACAAGCTGCCAATGCAGGGGGACAGTTTGAAATATCCTGTTTTGCTGAGAAGTCTACCAGACACACTGTGGCCTATGGGATGATGATGGATACCCCAATGTTACAGAGGAACTTTGGGTGACTGTCCAGGTAGTGAGATGTCTCTGTCAATTCTGGTGTTTATATATTATCCTTCTGTGGTCTTTTATGGAGCGGAAAACAGATAGTTATAATTATAATTTTTCTTAGTTATGACAAAAGATAAACTACATATAAGACTTTAGACTCACACAGGATAGATGATAAAATACTTTCTTTAAATCTTACTAAATGTTAATTTACTAAATTTACTATTGTTCCCGATAACTGTTCTGTTAAATATCATTTGACTATGGTAAAGGTAAAACTCTTCTTTTTATTTAGACAGAAAAGAGGAGATGATGGGGAAAGTCCTTCTGTGTATGTTTGTCTTATTAGTTGTTAAATAAAGCATTGTTGGCCAATAGGAAAGCAAGATATGTGGGACTAGGAGTTGAGGAGGATTCTGGGAAGTGTAGTAAACAGTGGATAGTTGCCATGTAATCCCTGTAGTGGAGGACATATGAGCCTGGCATTCTCAGTAAGATAATATATATCTCACCGAGATGTATATTAGTTGGTTATGGGTTAATACTAAAGATGGAACCAGCCAATGAGAAGCCCTGGACATTAGCCTTGTAACTAATAGAATCTCTTTGTGTTATTTGTTGTTGGCACAGCTCTGGGACCATGCTGGTGGGAAGAATGCTCATTACACACTTTTAGTATTCAATTTTTAAAATTCTATATATTTAAAGCATTTAATTTTTAACCAGTTAAAGGAATGAATTTAAAAGTTGAAATTAACATGTTGCCACAAGGAAACAACATTTCTTTCAGTGTGTAGAGTGGTTTTGTCATATTACCAATTAACTCAGTTTTTACCTCTGTTTGAATATGATTATTTATTTTCTACATATTTGATATAAAATTATGCATATGAAAAAATTATTTGTGCAACACTGGAAAGTGAAGGTGTATGAAATAAAATAAAAATGCAGGCCTCGTGTTTCCAACTCCCTTTGATTTTGAGTAACTTCCTATCTTTGTAGAGAATATTCAAGATAATGTGGAATTCCTCATGTTAAAACCAAGAATGTAGGAACACAGATATGTAAGGCAAAGAGTGAAAGTTGAGTCCTTAGAGGATGGCAGGTTGGAAGGGCTCATTATTTTGATATGGACAGAATTTGTTTTGATTGGCATATCCTCTTCTCAAAGCCCAGGAAGTCAACTGAAGTGACCCCTATCTTCCCCGTAAACTGGAAATTTTTTTTCTAAGAAGCCAATAGGGCAAGTGCATGCTCATGTTTGTTTCTTCTCTGTCTGCCAATGTTTCACAAATTTCAGCCATCTTTCAGTTGTTTTTA